TGAAAAGTATGAAATGATTATGTGCACACTAAATATTGTAAATCAATAGCAATTGCTCTAAATGGCATCTTGGCTATAGTTCTTAGAGAAAAGATGTCTTTTTCTTTTTACATCCCAGGGCTACATTTTTATCTTTTTATTTTAATTGAGGTTGTATGAGAAAAATAGTTTTCTCTTTGAAATGTATCCATTGACTTGGCACTAACTAATCCAGTTTATGCTGTGTGTCTAGGCAATGTTCTGTGCATCTCAGTGGAAAGGTTATCTGCACTAATAGATCTTTGCCAAACTTCTGCTGGCATTCACTGCTTAGGTAGTGGAAGACTAGAGAACAATGTGTATGCATGTTTTGGTGCTGAGAGTTTTCCATGAACAGATGGCAAAACGATAAACTAAAAACATATGCACTGCATTGTAAACATTTCCTCCTGAGTGATTTGGCAGACTGACAATTATGAGACAAGAAAAGTGAGGTTGTTCAGAGCCATAGGAAAAATTTAATCCTTGAAAATAAGGAACTAGGCAGGAAGTTATTTGCATATTTAACTTTCAAAACAAAGAAGTGAGTTCCTCCAACTGAGACGTTATTTTTGAACTCAACTGTGGGAGACCCATGATTTGTATCAGTTTGGGGTTTGATATCTTCCCTTAATTACTCAAGAGTCTTCTCCGCAGGTTTCTTTAAGAAGTTTGTTAAATAATTTATTTTTAAGTTTTATCTCGTCTCAGAAAATCCAGAGTGCTTTAGCAGGGGCTGCTTTGGGGGACTCCCAAAGTAGGCCTTTCCTAAAAGAACTTTCTGAAGTAGACTCAGGAAGATCTGGAGAAAGAGACTTAGACACTGAGTTTCAGTTTTCTAAGGAAAGCTTCACAAAAGATGAAAGGAAGGGACAGGTTCCAAGAAGGATTTCTCCGAACAACCAGTCAGAGAAGGGAGGTCATTTTCCCTGTGGGTTGCCCTTGCCCCGGTCCTCTTTAGATCTGGCACCTGAGGCTCACATCAGTTCAGGGCTCTTTTTGGTATCCCTCTGGGAAGGTACTGAGTGTTCTATCTCCTCCACGTCACCACTACTTTCCCATGGAGCAATGTCTACCTCCCAGTGAGCTCTGTTTCTCCGTGGTGAAGCCCACTTGGTGGTGGGTGTACCATCTTGTTCTGGGCCTCTTCTAAGGCCATGTGGCAGCACCAAAGCACAGTGTGATGGTGACATGGGCTTAAGAAGAGGCCCATGTGGAACAAGAGGAAAATTAATCTCCAGTAAACAAAATAATGGCAAAGAGGAGAGACAGTGTGTCAAAAAGCATGTGGGCAGATTCTCATGAGAACTGCAACGAGGAGGATGACACATCTCTCCCAGTCCTCTGGCACCCACAACGGCTGGCTCTAATGACCACTTCTAAGTGGAGAGGAAAATAACTTTTTAAAACATTTATAGGCTTTTAGAGCAATTATAGGTTTACAGAAAAAAATAAACAGAAAGAACAGAGTTCCCACCTACTCTCTCCCCTCCCTGCAATTTCCCCATTGTTAACATATTGCATTGGTGTGGTACATTTGCTACAGCTGATGAGCCAATATTGATAGATTATTATTAACTAAAATCCACAGTTTACATTAGAGTTCACTGTTTATGTTACAAACTTCTATGGCTTTTGCCAGATGCCTAATGATATGTTTCTACCACTTTAGTATCACATAGAATCGTTTCATTGTCCTAAAAATCTTTTATACTCTCTTTGTACAGTTTGTTCTTCCACCCCTCACCTACCAATCCCTGACAACCACGAATCACTCATCTTTTTACTACCTCTATAGCTTTGCTTGTTCCAGAATGCTAGATAGCTGGAATCATACAGTTTCAGACTGGCTTCTTTTACTTAGCAATACGAATTTAGGTTTCATCTGTGTCTTTTTGTGGCTTGATAACTCATCTCTTTTTATGACTGAATAATATTCAGTCGTATGAATTACATTTTGTTTATCCATGCACCTATTGAAGGTCAACTTGTTTGCTTCTGATTTTGGTAATTATGAACAAACAGCTATTAAGATCTGTATGCAGTTTTTTGTGGATGAAAATTTTCAGCTTATTTGGGTAAGTACTAAGAAATACAATGCTGGATAGTATGTTAAGAATATATTTAGTTTCGTCAAAAACTGACAAATTGTCTCCCAAAGTAGCTGTACCATTTTGCATTCTCACTGGCAGTGGAGGAAGGTTCCTGGTGCTCCAGCTCCTCACATCCTTGCCAGCATTGGTGTTGTCAGTGTTTTGGGTCTTAGTCATTCCTATGGGTGTGTAGCGGTATCTCATTGTTGTTTTAATTCACATTTCCCTGATGTGAGTTTTCCCGCATCTTTTCATGTGCTTGTTTGCCATTCATATATCTTCTTTGGTGAGACATCTGTTCAGATCCTGCCCACTCTTTAATGAGGTTGTCTTCTTATTGTTGAATTTTAAAGAGTTCTCTGTATATTTTAAATACAAGCCCTTTGTTAGATTTGTGTTTCGCAAATATATCTCCTGGCAGGTATGTTTCTCTTAGCCTATTGCTTGTATTTTTGTTTTCTTAACAGTATCTTTTAGAGCAGGAGTTTTTAATTTGGAAAATCTGGGCGGGGGGGATGTTTTGAAATATTAGAGGTGCCAAAGTAGTTGTGGCTGGTGAGGGAAGAAGAGGAGAGAGGAAGAAGGAATTTTAAAAGAGTATTGCTGTGACCTGCATACTTCATTCAGAATATTTGAGAAATGCAAGTAAAGAACTTGAGTGAGTCTGAACCCATGTTGTGGTTGTTGGACTGTGCTTGAATGTGAGGACTCGGCACCTGAACTGTGTAGGCACAGCTTTCCTGTTCTCTGTGACTCTGGGTGGCTGAAGATGAGCATCACATGAACATATGTGAAATGCATAAGGCAATTGGTAGGGGTGCTGTAAATGTGAGTGTGCTTTGTATAGGAACACTGTGGGCACGTGGGACTGCCTGAGAGCAGTCCGGACACAACCAGTGCCACCCCAAGGGGCCTCGTTGCTGTTCTTGTTCTGACTCCACCTCTTTCATCCCTCTGCATTGAAAGGGAAAGAGAGGAGTCAGCCTCACTCCAATTTTATTTTATTTCATTTTTTATACTTTCAATTTTTCTTTCAGACTCAGGGGGTATGGGTGCAGATTTGTTACATGGCGTATTGCACGATGCTGAGGTTTGGGGTGTGATCGATCTCATCACCCAGGATCACTGCAATTTTACAAAGGCTAGTTCAGAAGCTTTATTCTTGGTATCATAGTTTCCAGCTATATGAGTTTCACATACAAGAGGAAATTGTGGGTTGAGGAGTCTGAAAGAATTTAAAGCCATTAATTGAGATTTTAATTAATTCGGAGGCCAATATCCTATATTTGTGATCATTAAGACAGAGTGTTGATTGAAGTGCAGTATTGCACATTCTATAATAAAAGGGTTTTCTTTTTCTAAGTAAGTGAATAGATAAAACATGATGGTAAGGAATAAGATTTTCTCACTTTAGAAAATGCAGTCCACACAGGACAACTGATCAGGTTCAAATCTTGTCTTTTCCATTTACTGGCCAAGAATTACCTCCTTTGAGTCTCTCAGGTTTCTCATCTTAAAATGGCATCAGTGACATTACTGCAATTGCAAGGCTGGGCTGACTAAGTGAAACAAAGCACATGAACCTCCTGGCACCATGACTGGAAGGGGGATGATGCTCTGCATCTGTTTTTTTCACCCACTTTGTATTACAAGAAGTGTGCTCTTCCAAGTCCTCTGCTGGAACGATCTACTCTCCATCCTTTAGAAAATACCCTGTGAGCTCCTGCTTCTGTAATTTTGCTTATTATTTCTTCTATCTTGTGTATATCTTCCTTCTCCTCTTCAGCTGTCCAACTCTTTGATGGCTGCACTAGTTGCTTTTCTAGAGGGCTGGGATGCTTTCCCCATTCTCATCTCCTTAGTCAGTCATGGCATTTGGTACCCACTGCAGTGCACTGCTTTGTGTTGTTCACATGCACATGCCTTTCAATCACCTCGATCATATCCCTCCAGCATCACTTCTTTTGTCAGCATCACCTTTTTTGCTGGGTCCTTCATGGTGTCCTTTTAATATCAGCAAATCGAATCACTTAATAATCGATATTTGGATTACAAATCATCTCAATGAGTTTATTGAGTTGCCCTAGAACCTTCCTTACTATGCAATGCTTTGTTAATTCTATTTGGATTCCTTTGCAACATTTGTTTCTTTTAAAGTTTTTTTTTTTTTTTTTTTTTTTTTTTTTAGAAAAAAGAAAGATTAAGTAAACTGTGGCTCATCAAAAAAGATGCTTGGGAAGATTTTTTAAAATACCATAGGGAAATACTTGTGTTGTCATGTTAAAATTAAATTGGAGCATGTAAAAGTATGCATGTAACATGGTAACAACCACATATGCTATTGTTTAAAAAAACTGTGAAACTGCTAGTAACTAAAAAATCAGGCCCAAGCATAAATATTAATTCTTTTTTGGAACTAAAGTAACTATTATTTTCTTTCCATTTTATTTGAAGAAAGAATGTTTTTGTGGGTAAAATCATTCTCTGCATGGTTAACTACTTGCTGTGAATGAAGACCTATTCTACTTCTTTCCACTAGAGGTCACTGTGGTTCTTTAGTTATTTTTTCCATTTGGCATCCCTGTTAGCAGGGGTAAAAGGATTCTGTCATGGTTATTATTTTTAGCAAAGTTAAGAGAAATGTTAAAATGATAGCTTCCTTTTTTAAATACAAAGAAACATTTTCTGTAGCTATTGTACTTCTTTTCAGATTTCGTATTCCAGGCCATAACTGTCATAAACATTTCTATTTTACATTGGCGACCCAAATTTAATTTATTAGCATGAAACATTATCACTATACTATTTATTCTGCTATTAAAACAGAATTGCACCCATGCTTTCTATGTGTGAAAAATAGAAGACTAACCCTTTCTATTTCTTGTTCAGCTTTATTTTTTGAAGATTGTTTCCCAGCAGTACAGAAACATGGCTTCTAGAAGAACTTGTTAGTCATGGAGTATTAAAATCGATTAATGACACATGAGATGTGCACATCTAGGGACCATTTTGAAGGTGAATGCAAGATATCCAACAAATTCTACCAATAAACTACTGTGTCTTTAAAAGAATTTCTCCCTGGTAAATTCAGTAGGAATACAGGCTGTGTTTTTCTGTTTGAAAAATGATTAAATATTAAGAATTAGAAAAAGGAGATATAGCTCCAAATATTAATAGGATGCATGCTGAGTGTAACATCACCCAAAATGTCTAAGCAACATGATAACCAAGGTTCTCAGTTCTCCTACTGGAGTCAAGTTCATTTCACTATAAACCAAGAAGCTCTAAATTTTATAATGTTTTGAAAACCCTTATTCTTCCTTCTCATTCTCTGTTTGCTCTTTGCAGCCTTGAAAAATGGGATCCCAGTCACCTCACAAGATTGTATTTATTTTTCATAGTCTGGGCCATTTGGTTCCCTGTTGTGTTCTTATTCCTAGGGCATTATTGCTAAATTCACAGTAATTTCCCCCAATTCAAATTGTGTCTCAATAAATTTCAAAGTTGATTATCCATTATTTATTATGGACCCTAAATTTAGCAGTACTAGAGAGATTTGGATATGTGTGGCATATTGGAAACCCACCGACCACTCCAACAATCTACAATATGCTTTGAAAAATCTGCACATTTGCTTCTGTCTTCTGACTAGAATGCACAGCTCCAGTTCCCTAAGTTTGCTGAACGTGCAGAGGCCCAGGCTGTAAGCAGCAGATGAGGCTGACTGCAATGGGGCGTCCTGCTGCACTTTGAAGCCTTTCTTTTTCATTTCCTGCAAACCCAATCTTTGTTCTTGCTTTTGGAGGCAATTTTACAACTGGGTGTGTCTAAAGTGAAATAATTAATAATTGTCTTGAAACAGTTAACAAAAATAACTGGCTGGCTATGGGTTTTTTTTTGAAAAGCACTTTCTTTTTTTCCTTCAAAGGATGTGTTCACCTTTCTGTCTTTAATCCAGAGTCCTCCAAGGCTATTTAGAAATATTATTTCCTTGGGGCTCTCTGCCATTGTGGTTTCTATTATTTAGTCCAGCGTTTCTCAAGCTTGTAAATAATATACTTGGGAATGCATATTTTTGGCAGGGAAGGAAGTATGTCATGGTGGTTTTGGAGTCAGAAAAACCTGCTTTTGAGCCTTACTTCTATAAGTTACTAGCCATGTGACTTTCAAGCTTTATAACCTCATTAAATTAATTTTGGGCTCCTTTATATTAAAATGAAGATACAAACAATGGTAAATAGGATAATGTGTATAAAATGAGTAATACCATGTCTGACACATGATAAATACTCAACATGTGATAGGGATTAGTAGTAGTTCAGTTGAACCTTGAACAAAAGGGATTTGAACTGTCTGAGTCTATTTATACACAGATATTTTTCAATAAATATATTAGAAAGTTTTTGGAGATTTGCAACGATTTGAAAAACCTTGCAGATGAGCTGTGTAGACTAGATATATTGAAAAAAAATAAAGAAAGGTGTTTGATGAATGCATAGAATATATGTGGATACTAGAATATTTTATGATTTGCTACCATAAAGTATATATAATTTAATCTATTATAAAATGTTGAAATGTATCAAAACTTATGCATAAAAACTTACAGACTGTATAAGGCACCATTCCAAGTCCAGAGAAATGTAAACAAACGTAAAGATGCAGCATTAAATCACAACTGCATAAAATTAACCATAGTACATACATTAGAACTATAATAATTTCATAGCCCCCTCCTGTTGCTTTTGCAGTGGGCTGAAGTGTTGTAAGTATCTGCTTAAAATACTATGTGACTAATCATCTCCAGTAAACTGCATATCACAGTAAAGTGTGACCTGTTACGGTTCTTGTGTATTTTTCATCATGTTTAGTGCAACGTTGTAAACATTAAGTCACATCGTGGGACCCATACAAAATGCCACTAATGATGCTGGAGGTGCTCACAAGAAGCAGATAAACATCATGACGTTACAAGAAAAAGCTGGATTCCTTGACGTGTACCACAGATTGAGGGCTGCAGCTACAGTTGCCGCTATTTCAAGATAAATGAATCCAGCATAATGATTATTGCAAAAAGTCAGAAAGAAACTCCTGAAGCCATTACTGTGGCTATGCCAGCAGACACAAAAACCTTGTATGTGTTTTGAAATACCTTATAATCTCATAGTGAAAATGGAGCTTTTATGTCGGTGTAAGATTGCTGTCAGAAAGGCATACCTATAGAATCTAATGTGATTTTTAAAAAAGCAAAGTTATATGACAAAGTAAAGGAAGGTGAAAGATCTAAAGATAGATAATTTAATGCCAGCAAAGGATGGTTTGATAATTTTAGAAAGAGGCATGGCTTTAAAAATGTCAAGATAACAGGAGAAGCAGCTTCTGCTGACCAAGAGGCAACAGACAAGAGTTCCCAGACATGATTAAGAAAATCATTAAGGGTAAAGGATAGCTGCCTGAACAGGCTTCTAACGCAGACAAAAGTGCCCTATTCTGGGGGGAAAAATGCCACAAAGAACATTTATTAGTAAGGAAGAGGAGTGAGTACCAGTGTTTAAGGCGGGAAGGAATAGGCTAACTTTATTGTTTGTGCAGATGCAGTTGGGTTTATGATAAGGACTGCACTTATCTATAAAGCTGTTAAACTTTGAGCCTTGAAGGGAAAAATAAACATCAGCTGCTGGTCTTTTGGTTGCACAGCAAGAAGGCCTGGAAAATGAGAAACCTTTTGCTGAATTGATTGCATCAATGCTTTGTCCCTGAAGTCAGGAAGTACCTTGCCAGTAAGGGCTGCCTTTTAAAGTTCTTTTGATATTGGATAATGCCCTTGGCCTTCCCAAATCCCGTGAGTTCAACCTCAAGCGTCAAAGTGATCTGCTTGCCCCCAAACATAATATCCTAATTCAGCCTCTAGATCAGGGGTCGTAAGGACCTTTATGGCTCATTACATGGTACTCTATGGAAAGGAGTGTCAATGCAAGGGAGAGAACCCTGATAGAGAGAACATCATGCACGTCTGGAAGGATTGTACGTCATTGAAGATGCCATTGTCTTATAGAGAAAGCTGTAAAAACGGTCAAACCCCAAACAATAAATTCCTGTCAGAGAAAATTGTGTCTAGATGTTGTGCATGACTTCACAGGATTTGCGACAGAGGCAATCAAGGAAATAATGAACCAGATTGTGGGTACGGCAAAAAGAAGTAGTGGGTGGAAGCTTTCAAAATATGGATCTTGGAGAAATTCAAGAGCTAATAGACACCACACCAGAAGAGTGAACAGAAGATGACTTGATAAAGGTGAATGCTTCCAAATCAGTGCCAAGTATATGCCTTTTATTTTCTTAAAAATTATTTTCCTTTGTTTTTTAATGGACACATAGGAATTATACATATTCATGGGTTACAGTATGATATTTCAATACCTGTATACCTGTATACTGTGTGTAATAATCAAATCAGGGTGATTAGCATATCTGTCACTTCAAACAATTATCTTTTCTTCCTGTTGAAAACTCTCAAAAATTCTCTTTGCCAGGTGCAGTGGGACACGCCTGTAATCCCAGTTCTGTGGAAGGCTGAGATGGGAGGATTGCTTGAGCTCAGGAGTTTGAGATCAGCCTGGGCAACACAGCAAGACCCTATCTAAAAAAAAGTCCTCTCTTCTAGTCACTTGAAAATATAAATTAAATTGTTGTGAACTATAGTAACTCTACAGTGGTATCTAACACTATCTATCTAGCTGTAATTTTGTATCCATTAACCAATTTCTCTTTGTCCCCTACCTCCCACCCACTCCCCTTCTCAGCCTTTAGTTACCACTACTTTTCTCTCTATTTCTATGAAATCCACTTGTTTAGCTTCATGAGTGAGTTCATTGCAATATTTGTCTTTCTGTGCCTGCCTTATTTCACTTAACATGATGACTTCCAGGTTCACCTATGTCATTGCAAATGACAGAATTTCATTATTTTTTATGGCCAAATAGAATTTCATTGTGCATATATACCACATTTTCTGTATTCATTCATCCATTGACAGATACTTAGGTTGATTCCATATCCGGGCTATTGGGAATAGTATTGTAATAAACATGGGAGTGTAGGTAGCTCTTTGACATATTGATTTCCTTTCCATTGGGAAAGGAATACTTAGTAGTGGGATAGTTCTATTTTTGGTTTTGTGAGACAACTCAACACTGTTTTCTATTAGGTTGGTGCAAAAGTAATCACAGTTTTTGCCATTACTTTTAATGGCTGTATTACATACCCCCACCCCCTACTTTTTGTTTTTTAATCAAGATAAGCTATATTCATACAAGAAGCAAAGAAACAAGTAATAAATGTCAGATGAGTATTACCAACAAAAGGAAGCAACCACTTCTCACTGGGATGGTCAGTGGAGGTGGTTTCACAAAGGGGTGAAAGCAGAGGTGATTCTTGGAAAAAAGTTCCCTGGCCAGCCTGGGCTTAGAATGCGACACAAGGAGTGAGCACAGGCTTTTCATTGTAGTGGCTGGGGTGAGATTCCAGCTCCGTTATTTAGTAGTTTGATCTCAGTAATTTATTAATCAGGAGATTATCAAGGGGATTAAGAAAAATAGCATATGCAACTTAGTTAATATTAGCTAACGTTGATTGAGGATTATGATGAGCTCACCTAATCCTCATAATGGCTTAGTGAGATAAGCATCCTCCTTAGCATCAGTATGGTGGAGAGGAGAGGATGGGTACATGGCCTTTGACATTGTGCCTCTCCTGTGAGAAGTGGTCAGCAAACGACGGCAATTATTTTCTTGCCGATATTTACTAAAAGTCAGCTAGAAATTAACATGCAAATGGTGTCTCAAGGACTGACCAGCATTTTCCCTCCAGTGGTGCAGTGAAACTACAGCATAAATGTGAAATATCAACTTGTATGTGTGTAGGTGGGAATCAGTGGTGCAGGGGTTAAATTTGAATTTCTGTTTCCTTAAATGTTTTGGTCACAGAATGCACAAGGAAATCCACCAAATCCACCTTTTCTGTGTTAGCCAATCTCATTTTTTTTGACAACACAAAGAGTACATGATTGCAAAAGCTGATATTTATTACTTTTGTGTTATCAAGAAACTACTGGCTATTAGAAAATGGGTTACATCAAAATGAAGTGGATGTTCTTTTTTGGGAGAATGTATAATACTTTTATTAGTCCCAAGGGCTAGTACACTCTTTTCAGACCTTAGACTCTAGATTGGCCTTTACAAACCCCACAGTTAGTCTTTGAAAAATGAATTTTGTCACCTTATGAACAGGTGTTTGTTTAACTTCTAATTAATCAAAATAAAATAAAATAAAATAAAATAAAAACCTACTGGCTCCACAGGTCATAATTGTACTGGATCAAATATTCTGTTTATGCCTGGAGAAAAATGAAAATGGAGACCACCTATTTTGTTCTAGGTGTAAATAATTTGACATATTAAACTTCCTTAAAATATGAAAATAGACCCAATGATATTATAGACTAGAAAGTAGCATTCACATATTTAAGATTGAAAAATAAAACAAAACCTTAAACTTTGGATTTACCTCATTCCCTTTTAGGCTGTTCTCCTAGGATGTTAAGGGTTGGGTTTGATCTTTTCTTTCCTCTTAAGTGAACCATTTTAGAAATGACAGCTTTAGGTATTAAGACATTATTGAGCACTAACATCCGAGCTTGTATATCACCTTATCGGTTTTACAGTACAGAGAGCAGGAATAGAGGCACAGAACTAATGGATTTGGGTGGAGGAAACGTGGGAGCTGGTCAATGCTGAGAAGAGAGGGCCTTGCATGGAGATCTCTCAACTGCTGGAGGCCAAGGACCTATTGCAGGTATTGAAGAAAGGGGCATGAACAAGGAAATAGCGAGTACTCAAGGCTTACCTTGCAGTTTGGCCACATACTCATCAAGTTTGGCCACATACTCATCACATCATCTTTTGCTCAGGAGAGGCCCCCCTCCATAACTGCAGAATGAATGGGTTCATTTTCATCTCCCCCTGAATCTTCTTTCCCCATCCCCTCATGGTGCCTCCTTCCCACCACCATGATCTCGTGAAGCTTGTTGCTCCATGATGAGGCACTTGATCTAGGTTCATGGCTTCAAAGATTCTTATGGGTTCTTACAGGCCACCTGGTCCAACCTCCTTATTTGAAAATGTGATCAAAATAAGGCATCAGGGCCAGGCTCATGGGTGTGTGACCTGTGCAGAAGCACAGGATCCTACATTTAGAAGGCCCCCACGTTTGGTGTTGATGCTCTACTGTTGCCGTCTTCAAGTCTTTAGTTTTTGAACAAGGGACTCCACATTTTCATTTTATATGGCACCCTACAAATTGTGTTTCTGGTCTTATCTAAGTCATACTGATATACTTGTGACTTAATGAATCATGTGAATATTTTATTTTAGAAAAATGCCTTCAGGACATTTTTTCAGGAATATGGAAGCGATAATGGTAGAGGAGATTGAGGGCTCACCAAAGGCAACAACGGAATTTGAGGGAGGAGAGCAGGAGATTTCCAGGAACTCCAGGAAAACAGATGTACCATGAATTTGTCTCACTTGCAGTTCAGCAGCCCTGTCTTTAGATAGTAATTTATTCCTTATCGCTGTTCTGAATTTCCACATTCCCTCTTAAAACGGATTCCCTTTTGTTCTTTTCTCTCTGCAGTTGCCGACAACTAGCCATTAACTCCTATGTACTTAAAGACCATTATAGTTAGCCCTCAACATTTTGCCAGGCTAAGAGATCCTAATTCTTTTATCCATCAGCTTGAATGCTTTTTTCTTTTAATTGATGCTTCCTCAAAGAAGAACTGCTAGCTAGTTCAGGTAGCATTGTTAAAATCAGGGCACAATTAATTTCACATCTAGCTACAATATTGCCAAGGAAAGAAACAGACAAAGACAGAGATGGCACCAATGAAAATCACTTTTTGGAATTAAGCTAAAATTAGCTAAACATTTTGTAATTACAAAGTAATTTGAAAATCAAGCAGTTAGACTAAAACATTGATCAGGAAAAAGACGACGGGAAAGGAAAGGATGGAAAAATTCATTGAAAACAACCTCCCCTGCAGACCAGAGGGAGTTTTTGAGAGAAAGTAGATTACTGCTTATAGAAATACCGAAGCCCATTAGTTCGGGCAAAGGCTTTGAGAACAGAAAATGTGTCCTTGCGAGGCGAGAGGACTGAGTTCTACCCAGTAAAGGCTGTGTCTCTGCCTGTGTGTGAACAATTTCCATACACGTATCCACAAGGAGATGTAAAGAGACCTAT